CAGAGGGAACACAAAAGTTCTGTTGACAATTTTTATGAAGTGTGTCACTCAAGGCTCTATAGAGGAGATTCACTTTGACCAACAACACTTACATGTTGAAATCTACCAGAGGCTTTAAAGCAAAACTTGATGATTTCAGGATTGGTAAACACAAGATGAGCCTGTTTGGGAGATCTGTTTTTGAATGGAATATTCTGTTACTATTTTGCTAATGACCCACCCATTGTGCGTTATAATTTCTCTAGTAATATTTCAGAAACAGATAATAATTAAATTCTGGAACATGTCAAGAGATTGCAAAGTAACTCACAGCTAAAGTTCCAGAGTAAAATAATTTCTATATTTCACTTATGAAGATTTTCATCTGCATACTATCTCACCCACCCATTGCTGTGCAATTTATTTTTTTGTGGGAGGAGACTGTCCATTTTCTTCCTGCAGAGCCTCTAGTGAACTGCTGACCTTTTGGTTATCAAATCAAACATTACATATTATGCTACCAGAGCTCCTTAGGGTATCTTATGTCTACTCTAAATTCTACCAGTTCCACTATCGTTCTATCATTCATTTGTTAACACTTTTACTCAAATTAGAAAAGTCTTTGCTGTACAATTCCAAAAAAATTTAAAGCTGAAAATATTTAACAACATAAAAGAGAAAGAAAACAAATAGAGCAGGACAAAGTGAACAGCACTGCCCAGGGAAATGGCAGGTGCCCTTTGCCAGAAGAAAGGAAATGTCATGGAGAAAAAGATAACACGCCCACTGAGCGAGAAAGATCACAGCAAAGAGAGTTCTCACCTCTCTGTTTTCATTTTCAAGAATTTTATTTGATTTGTTTCTTCCTCTATAGTACTACACTTCTCTGGCAGATATCCCATTTTAATCTACACTGAGAGGAAACAGGATGACAGAATATTGCTGCTGTTGAAATATAAGCTTATTTGTTTTAGCACTGTGACTTCTGGAAACCTTGGCTTATACTTCCAACTTTAAAAAAAAATCATGCTGAATAGTGGCAGGTTGTCCTTTTGATCCTTTGAGTGAACAAAATAGTGTTTAGGATAACAATAGAAACTCAGTAAGCTGAAGTAAAAAAGGCATCTATCACTGGTCACATTTTTGGTCAAATTTTCCCAAATTCTGACCAAATAGAGGAATGAAAAGAACTGTTGACAAATGTCTACTTAGATGTTGTAGTTACTAGTGATTGTGACTTGTGGATTGTGACAGTGAAATTTCACATTTCTGTAACCCTTACCTAAGGCTGAAATTCATTAAAACCTAATAGTAATTTTAGAGGGAGCTTTGGTGACTTTTTGGGTAAGGAATTGCTCTATCAACCCTAAAGCAAAAGGTTTCAATCCACCAGCTAGCTCGCTAGCTGCTCCCAGGGAGAAAGATGGGCAATCTCCTCCTCTGTGGTTTATACCCTCTGAAAATGCACTAGAGGGTCAGCTGTGAGTTGGTTTTAACTCAACGACAATGAATTTAAGTTTTCGAGAAATTTTAGAGTGATTGTCACTTCAAAATTGTCATCTTTAATTTTGTGTGGTATTATGAAGGTTTATCACTTTGACTGTTTTATGTAACAGACTATATCTATCTATCTATCTATCTATCATCTATTATCTATCTATCTATCTATCTATCTATCTATCTATCTATCTATCTATCATCTATCTAGTATTTGATGTAGGTAGAAAGAAAACACAAATTTGTCACAGGTAAATTCAATATTATTACCACCAATTATAGTGTTCCTAATAGTGATTGTAATTTCCCAAAATATCCAACCTTTGTCTTTTGTGCTATTTGATTTTGACATTATAGACTGTTACCTATTTATAATGACAATCTCTTGTTGTTATGTGCCTTCGAGTCGTTTGCGACTCATAGCGACCCTATGTACAACAGCTCTAAACCCTGCTCTATCCTGTGCCAATCTCATTGCCCCTGACAAACCCATCCCGAGTACCCCAGTCACTGAATCAATCCACCTCATAGAGGGTCTTCCCCTCCTGCGCTGTCCCTCCACTCTACCCAGCAAGATGTCCATCTCCAAAGACCTGTCTCTCCTTACAACATGTCCAAAGTATGTCAGACGAAGCCCCAGAATCCTTGCCTCCAAGGAGCAGCCTGGTTTAATCCTCTCTACGATGAATCTGTTTGTTTTCTTGGCAGTCCATGGTACATTCAATACTCTTCTCCAGCACCACAGCTCAAAGGCGTCAATTCTCCTTCTATCCTCCCTAGTCATTGTCCAACTCTCTGCCACATAACAAGTGATTGCAAAAACCATGGCCTGTATCAGGCGGACCTTAGTCTCCTGAGAGACACCGTTGCTCTTGAGTATTTTGGAGATGTCCCTAACCACAGACTTTCCCATCGCAATACATTTTTTTGATTTCCTGGCTACTGGTGCCAAGAGTGTTGACCATGGAGCCGAGCAAACGGAAGCTGTGAACAATCTCAATCTCTTCGCCATCCATCCTGATGCTACCGATTGGTCCAGTGGTGAGAATTTTTGTCTTCTTAACATTGAGCCTCAGAAGAATGACAATCTACTAATAAAAATTCCAAACAGGAGGCAGGATTGGTGAAGGCAGGGGTAGCTGGAAGACTTACAAGGAGAGGAAATGCAAGAACAAGGCATATTATAACAAGAGAAATTGTGGTTTTATGAAAAATAAAGCCATGCTTAGCAGTGATGATAGAGCACTTGGAATGACTTAATTCTGGCTTTAAGGGAAACTAATAACAAAAATTTCTCTTGGTCAAATACTTTTCTTTTTCTTTGTATAATTCAGAATTTCTAAAAATATACTTAAGGCTTAAAAAAATGAAAGGTCTCCAGGACAAACTTGTTCTTCCTGGTGATTCTTCTGAGCTCACAGCTGATGAAATCATCACAAACATGCACATTTTGTCTGGGATAGATGTTCTAGTTTCTCATTCTAGGACAAAGAAAAAAAATTCAAATCAAGAAATATTTCTCCAGAGCAAGCTTGTACAATTTAGAAGAATTCTCTTCATAGCTGTGCTAAATGCTTGGTGGAGGGAGTTATTTTTAACTGAGGACAGAACACTCATGCTAGAAAATGTTCTAATCTCTAATTTTGTGTTGAGCAGAGAGATATACTTTTGATGAATAGTCCTATCAGCAGCAGTACTTCCATGAATAATTTGATGAAGAATCATCAAAAGATAGAAAAAAATTATGATTTTCAAGAATTAGAACTCTATGTCCTAGATATAGTGCAGCCTTTAATTTGGATCACCTTTACACACATTGTGGTTGCTTTTGTGTACTACTAAGTCAGAACTAACCCACAGCAGACCCTCCAGCAAGTTTTCAGGGGCAGTTAATAGTACAGGAGGAGATTGCCCAGCCTGCTTCCACAGAACAGCTGGTGGATTTGAACAGCGTGCCTTTGGGATTGCAGTTCAGCTCCTTGACACTAGGGAAATAACTGCAAGATTGAGGACTGTCCTAAAGTAGGTATAGTCTCTATAATCAAATTAGCCACTTAATGTCCTATCTGAGCTCTGTAGAAATCTAATTTGGGGCAATACATTGAGGTTCTCCTGGATAAAAGAATTGTATTCTTAACTGTTATTATTTCAACTGATTCTAAAATCATCTGAGAAATATTCTCAAAATTCAGGAGTCTAAATCTGACATTTTTCTCATCTTTTTATTTCCTTTAATGTAGACATTCTGTAATTACATTGTAAAGCTGTATGTTGGTTAACATTTAGTTGAGAAAGATTAAATAGATACGAATGAATGTCAAAATATATGAATTGTTACTAATAATTGCTTCCAATGATTCATAATGAATTATTAGTAGGCCTAAGGTGAATCCTTTATATTAGAACATATCTCTTAACTATTATAATAATGTATGGAAGAGGCAAATTATTTTAAAGTTTCTCTTTTTATATTTTTGCAAGTATTAAATTGTAGGTTATAATTTTATAAAAACTCTGAAAAATAGAAATACACTTAGTATACATGTTGTTGTTGTGTGCCATTAAGTTGGATTTGACTCATAGCTAACCCTCCAGTGGGTTTTCAGAGGCAGTAAATTGCACAAGAGGAGATTACTCATCTTTCTCCAGCAGAGTAGCTAGTGGATTTGAGCCTCATGCCTTTCTAACTACAACCCAGCTTCTTACCACTAGGGCACCAGAGCTTCTTTTACTGTTCCTTAGAAGTTCCTCCCCTCTGCCCTATGTTTAATTTTTACTCATAAATAATGAGCCAAGACCCAAAGTAACATCTCACATTGTTAGATACCATTGTATCAATTCCAATTTATACTGACTCAGTGCGACAAAGTAGAATTACCTGGTGAGGTTTTCAAAGATAAAAATCTTCACAAAAGAGCTTTTACAGTCTGTCTGTAGGCAATCGTGCTGCTGACTCAAAGGCTGCATCTGTCTGGGAGTTCAAAGTCTCCAGTGACTCTACAAGAGAGAACTGGAAAATCTCTCTCATGTGATTTACAGCCGTGGAAACACACTGAAAGGTGAGCTATGGCTTTGACTCAAGCAATGGATTTTCCCCCCCTTTTCCTAAGAAATCTTTGCCAAAGTAGACTGCCACACCCTTGTTTCACAGAGCAACTGATGAGTTCAAACTGTCAAATAATGAGCAGAGTTGATATCAAATAGATTCTATTGTTTTATTCTTGATTGTTATTATCTTTATTAAACAATGTTAGCCATGCGAGATTATTAAAAATATCTAGTAATTTTTAAATATATACATCCTAGTAACATATAAATTGATCCAGTTCATTATAATGGTTAATTTTTAGGATGTACAGAGGTAAGTCAGTTATATTTCAAACACAACAATCAATCCTAAGTTAACCATCCGGCATAATTCATAGATACATGTTACATAGCTGCACAGTTACATAGTTACACAATTCTATCAATAAACTCAACACAAATGTGTATATCTCCTCGTTCTACTGAGCACTGAGGGGCTAGAGGTGGGTGTCTGCAATGGGTATCCTCCTGAGCTCTACAATCTGGGAGTCAGTCAGCGTGCCTCCCTCCTGGCTGCCTTGACCAGATTCATTATCACTGACACTGAGCCCAGCACCTGCAACAGAAAAAGAAATACAAACCCCATGTTATCATTGCAGTGACGTCGTAAAGACTAAGTTATAATAAGACAAACTATGTTTGTACTACGTTCACCAAAAGGGAAATATATTTACATAAGAAAACAAGATCTGTTGGTACCTGCCATGGCCTCACTAATTATCAAACAACAGCAAAAAACCACAAGAAATATGTATTTGAAGATAGAGATGCATGTCTGAGGCATACACGTATATGTTGCTATTGTTGTTAGGCACAATCAAGGTAGATGTGACTTTTAATGAGGCTTATGACATAACAAAATATTGCCTGGTACTGGCACCCACAGAAGCATTGCCATGTTTGAGATTATTGTTGGAGCTACTGTGCCAATCTATTCTGTTCATGATCTTCTTTATTGGCTGATCTCGCACCTCACCAAGCATGACATCCATTTCCATGGGCTGGTCCTTTCTGATAACATTATCATCATTATTTATGATCATTCTGGCTATCTCTCTTCCAAGGAAGATTCACTCATTCTTCTGGTCATCCACAGTATACGTAATATTCTTTGTCAATATCAAAATTAAAACATATCATCTTCAGTTTTCCTCATTCACTGTACAGCTTTTGATGGCTTATGTTGTTGTTGTCGTCATGTGCCCTTGAGTGAGAACCAACACATAACAGACACTGCAGTGGCTTTTGAGAGGCAATATATTACAGAGAAGGAGACTACCCATCTTTCACAGAGTGGCTGGCTGCTGGATTCAAATAACATACCACTGGGTTGGCAGCACAATTATTTACCACCAGACAACCAGAGCAAACATCAAAACTAAAAAGCATCTTCTTCTTAAGTTTTCCTCATTCACAATATAGTTTTTGCATACTTATGAAGTGAGTGAAAATAGCGTGCATAGGTCATGTACACATTAAATTCAAAGTGACAGCTTTGCTTTTGAACAATTTAAAGAGCTTATCTGCTGCAGATATACCCAACACAATACATTTCTTGGCTATGCTGATGGTATGTACTGTCAAGTTGTAACTGATGCACAGCTGATCTTACAGCAGGCTTTCAGAGGCTATTAATCACATAGGAGAAGATTGCTCATCTTTCTTCTGCAGAGTTCCTTACCATGAGG